TAGATCATAACCTTTGAGATATGTTACATGACATATGTAGCATAAAACACATTCTAAGCATATTTCCATAAAGCCTTATGGGAGGTACCATCACAGAATCCAAACCCCAAATAAACCCGTTTTACTCTGTATAGTATGAAGCTTATACAGGATAAACTCATAAATTGTTCGCCCTCTATAACACTGAGAGAGATATGCATGGCTGTTTGGTCCCCCAGGTATTAATCTCTTATTCTGGGTTTACTAATAAACAAAAATGATGTTATTAAACATAAAAAGGAGGATTTAAGTGGTTTCAAGTAATAACAGACAGAACAAAGTAAGTTACAAAGCAAAATAAAACAAAACATGCAGGTCTAAGCCTAATACATTAAGAAACTGAATACAGATACATCTTACCCGCAGAGATGTTCCAATAAGCTTCTTTCACAGACTAGACTCCTTCCTAGTCTGGGCCCAATCCTTTCCCCTGGTACAGTCCTTGTTCGTTCCAGCTCAGGTGGTAACTAGGGGATCCCTCATGACTGGCAGCCTGCTTTGTTAGGTTCCACCCCCTTTTATAGTTATGGCCCAAGGTGGGAACCCTTTGTGTCTCTCAGGGTTCCCACCCCTCCTTCTAAATAGAAAAGCACCAGGTTAAAGATGGATTTCAGTTCAGGTGACATGATTACATGTCCTCTGAGACTTCATTACCCAGTTGCTGGCACACAGGTATACAGGAAGTCTTACAAGTAAACAGAGCCATTTACAACCAGTTGTCCTGGTTAATGGGAACCATCAAGATTCCAGACCACAATTAATGGCCCACACTTTGCATAATCAAAATAGGACCTCAGAGTTAGTTTTATATTTCTAGATTTAGATAGAAGAATGATACGTTCATACAAATAGGATGATCACACTCAGTAGATTATAAGCTTTGTAATGATACCTTACAAGAGACCTTATGCATAAAGCGTATTGCAGTTACATCATATCCATATGGAGTGCAACGTCACACCAACACGGTTTCCTCCCAGGTTCGGGGTTCAGCCGGGGGAGGGACGATGGTGTCAGGGTCACTCTTTTTGGCTGCTCTGCTCAGGACATCTCCACGGAGAAGGGTATGGCTGGCCTGGGGGGCCCAGTAGATGAGGGGGGGTGGCAGCCACTTACTTTAAGGCCTCTAATGGCCCGCCCTGCAATATCTTACCCACCAATGATGCCTCATTTCTGACACCCCAATTTTGGGTCATGGATTTCTGCTCCCCCACTTCTATGTCCCAAGCGGACCCCAGCCCAGCCCGTGGGTTCTGTCCGGTGGCCAGTTGGGTTGGACTAATCCCGTCTTTCTGTCTCACCAAGTTTCCCCCCAACATTCATTCGTCCAGATTCTCAGGATCCTGCCTGAACTTCTCACTCACCTTTGTCGGCTGAACCCACCACGAGTGGACATTTGGAGGCTACGTTATCACAGCTGCTCCCAGGGTGGGGAAATTTGGAGGGCAGGGGTAAAGGAAGCTCTGGGGGTTTGTACACTAGAAACACAGGGCAGGGGAGGTCTAGGGAGAAAGGGGGGGGAGAGAAAAGGGGCTGGGGGACTCCGCTGCAGAGAGAGGAGGGGGACAGACACCTGGGAGAGCAGTAAGTGCCATTATTCCAGCCCCAAGGTCAGATGCAGCGTCCCCATGGGGGGCTGGGGGCTCTGTCTCGGGGCACTGGGGGAGCTGAGATTCTGCAGGATAGGCAGGCCTGGGACTTGTCTCAGGGCGATGAGCTCTGGTGGTTCTGGGGGATTTAACTACCCAGCTGCCTGTTGGGAAAGCGCTAGGGCCAAACTCACCCTGCCCAGTGTGGCCCTGGATGGATGGGGGAAGACAGTGGGTGTTTGAGGGGGAGGTGGTAACTGGGGGTGGCCGATTTAGACTTGATGGGGACCCCGAGGCAGGAGCTGGCTGCGAATGGGTAGGTGGGTGGGGTGACCGTAGCTGTGAAATGCTGGGTGCCCAGCCCAAAGGAAAGGGGGCACAGCAGGCAGCAATGGGAATCCATCCAGGAAGGGGTTAGTTATAGAGTGCCCGGCCTGCCAGTGCTCTGGGCTCCCTGCAGATGCAGGCAGTTCCCTCCCCATGCTAAGCCCTGGAATGGCCCCGCTCCCAACTGACAGCCCTGGGCAGAGATCCAGGGGCGGCTCCTCTAGCTGGTACCACAGGGGCTAGTGCTCACAGTGTGACAGGTTTGGTCACAGAGACCACCTTGGGACCGTCACCTGATGTCCTGAGATTACCTCTGAGCCCATTTTCCCTGCCAGCTTGGGACTCCAGAACCCTGCCTTGTTGAGCCAGACACACCAGCCTGCTGCAACACAGACCCAGGTCTGGTCCACGCCCCCTGATCTGCAGACTTTAACCAAAACCTGCTCAGCAGTTTTCCTATTTCCAGCACCCAGACACCCAGCTCCCAATGGGATCCAAACCCCAAATAAATCTGTTTTAATCTGTATAAAGCTTATACAGGGTAAACTCATAAATTGTCCACCCTCTATAAACACTGATGAGAGATATGCACAGCTGTTTGCTCCCCCAGGTATTAATCACTTACTTACACTTACTAATAAAATCACTTTTGTTTATTAATTAAGTATAAAAAGTAGGATTTAAGTGGTTTCAAGTAATAAACAGACAGAACAAAGTAAGTTACCAAGCAAAATAAAACAAAATACGCATGTCTAAGCCTAATACATTTAAGAAACTGAATAAAAGTAACTCTCACCCTCAGAGATGTTCCAATAAGCTTCTTTCACAGACTAGACTCCTTCCTAGTCTGGGCCCAATCCTTTCCCTGGTACAGTTCTTGTTAGTTTCAGCTCAAGTGATAACTAGGTGATTCCTCATGACTGGCAGCCCCCTTTGTTCTGTTCCACCCCCTTTTATAGTTTTGGCCCAAGGCGGGAATCCTCTCTCTCTCTCTGGGTTGCCACCCCTCCCACTAAATGGAAAAGCACAAGGTTTAAGATAGATTCCAGTATCAGGTGACATGGTCACATGTCACTGAAATAACTCATTCTTCATTACCCACAGGCTGGTCCCCACATCCATAAGCAGGCTTGCAGGTAAATAAACCATCTACAGCCATTGTTCTAGTCAATGGGTGCCATCAAATTCTAAACCACCATTAGTGGCCCAAACTTTGCATAATTACAATAGAACTTCAGAATTAACTTCATATTTCTAGTTTTAGATACACGTCTGATACATTCATACAAATAGGATGATCACACTCAGAAGATTATAAGCTTTGTAATGATACCTTACAAAAGACCTTTTGTATAAAGCATATTCCAGTTACATTATATTTAGACGCATAAGCATATTTCCATAAACATATGAAGTGCAACATCACACACAGCATCAGGGGTTCAATCCTGGGGAGATGCTGTCAGGTCAGGAACTGGGATTCTCCAAGGCAGGGGTGTTTGGGGGCAGGTGTGGTTTGTGCAGGTGTCTCAGCCCTCCAAGGGAAAGCAGCTTGTCCCCTGGGGAGATTCTGTTCCCTACACGGCCGGATCCAGACTCCTGGGGGTGCAGAGGGATAGCGGGTTAGAGGGGCCCATGTCGCCATGGGCCCAGCCCCTAGGGGGAGCAGAGGCACAGAAGGGGGGGTCCACCTCACCTAGGATATCCCCCTCGGACGGCTGTATACGGGTTCCTCCTTTGGGCGGCTGTAATAGGCCTCAACCAGGATCAGCCCCAGGACAAGAAGGACCACAGCGCCCAGTGCCAGACGGGCGATGTTGGCGATGGTGAAATCCAGGCGCCCCGGGAGGGCTGTTGTGGGGGGGGAAGGGAAGAGTCACTCGGCAGCCCAGATGGGGAGATCAGCAACTGGCGCTGCCCCAGGAGCAGAGTCCCCAACCTCCCGTTCTGGCAGGTCCAGCCCAGCTGCCTCTGGGGGTATCCCAGCGGCTGTGGCTCTGGGGCCTCCCTGGGGTTGGACTCCTCAGGGGAGGAGGTGTCCCGCTGCCCGGGGGGGCTGAGCCGCAGGTTCCCTGGTGAAGGGAGCTCCCAGCTGAACGAACTTCCCCCTGAGACACCTGGCACCTCAAGACAGGGCCAGGGGATGGGGACAATCAGAGCTGCAGGGTCTTAGCCCCCCAGAACAGGGAACCACCCCAGCTCCCTGTCCCCATAGGACCCCGCTGTCCACCCCCACAGGTGCCTCTGCCGCAGCCTGTCTGCTGTGAGGTGAGCCCATCCCCGGGGTATCTCGGCTGCTGACAAACAAACAGCCAGGCAGTGCACGCGGGGGGGAGGCTGGTATGTTAACCGCTGTCCCCCACACTCGAGTGGTGCCCAGGGCCCTGGGGACCAGGGTGCAGCCAGAGGCAGCAGAACATCTACTGGGGAGGGTGAGGAGGTCCCCTAACACCAGTGTGGGGAGGGGAAGCAAGAACCAAGGGAATTCTGGGAAATGCTCACTCCTATTCCCAGGGCGATGTCATGTGGCTCAAAAAGGGGGGGTTATTGCCCCAGGACTCTGGCACCCAGCTGGGCCCATTTTCAGAGCCCAGGCCCCCAGATCCTGCCCCTTCCCTGGCATCCCCCAGCAAATTCCAGGCAGCGACCAGCAGAGATCAGGGGAGCTGGGGTTCTGGGGCTGATGTCTGGGCCCCACACACACCTGGGGACTATGACCTGTTTCCACAGCTATTGCCCCCCCCCGGCCCCAACTCCTCTATGGGTCCCAAGAACGGAAGCAACCCGTGGGAGCATCCCCCTTGGAAAAGTCCCCTTCTCTGCAGCTGCCCCTGGAGGCAGGAATCCTCCCTCCCTCTGCCCCAAACCTTCAGTGGCTCCTGGTTCCCCTTGACTGGGGAACACCCCAGTGACTCCATTCCCGCTCCAGGGCCGGGTGTCCACACTGCGGGGTCAGGGCTCAGGGCATCCCATTGGCACCGAGACCCCGTGCGGGTCTGGCTGGGGGTGGGGCTGGGAATGGGGACGCCGAGCTGGGACCCTCACCTCTCACCACCAGCTCCATGGGGTCGCTGGGGTACGACATGTTGAACGGATCCACTATGCTGTGATAGTAGCAGCTGTAGCTCCCCCCTTCCTCCCGGCTCTCGTTGTTCAGGGAAAACACAACCATAAACCCAGTCGCATCGATAGGTGGGAAATGGCGTCGCTCTTTATTCAGCACGAACCGCATGCCCCGGTGCGGCCCCTCACACCAGATCGCCACAGTTCCCCTCAAGGAGACCCCCCTGCTTCGGCTCGGGTAGATGTTGGGTTTGGGGTAGATGGGCTCTGCAGTGGGAAGCAGACAGACCGTGAGATGCCTTTCCACAGGGGCCAGAGTTTCCTCTGAGCCCTGGACTAACAGAATGAGACACGGAGCAACCCCAGCCCCTGGGGGCCCAGAGCTCTGCTCCGTAGTGAGTGACAGGCCAGTCCAAGATCCAGTCACTCCCTGGCTTCTCTGCTGGGAGGGCTGGGAGCCAGGACTCCTGGGTTCTCTCCCTGGCTCTGGGAGGGGAGTGGGGTCTAGTGGGACGAGCAGGGAGGATGAGGGCCAGCACTGCTGGGTTCTGTGCACAGCACCACCCCTGACTTGTAGAGGACTGTGCAAGTCTACTATACACTGAGGTTTATAACCTTCAGCTCCGCCCATCACCCCATAACTGATGTATTGCCTGGGAAAGGCCCCCCCCTGCTCTGCAGCTCCCCCTGGGGACAGGGATCCTCCCGTCCTCTGACACAAATCTCCAGTGGCTGCTTCTCCCCCCTGGCTGGGGAACCCCCCAGTGACTCCGTCCCCACTCCCCTGCCAGGCGTCCCCTCTGCTGGGCCCAGGACTCAGGGCAGAGCCTGGCTCTGAGCGTCCCATTTGTGCAGAGACCCCCCTGAGGATCTGGCTGGGTGTGGAGCTGGGAGCCGGGATGCTGAGCTAGGCCCCTCCCTCACCTCCTACAATGATTTTGATGGGGTTGCTGGGATGCGATGTGCGATTCTGTTCTGCTATGGAGCGATAGTCGCAGGTGTAGTTCCCTCCATCTTCCCGGCTGACACTGGCGATGGGAAATTCAGCCACGGTCCCATCAGGCACCGTCCGCACCTGTGGATTCGGGTCTCCAGCTTTACGCAGAAAGAACTGCATGCCCTGGCCTGAACCCTCACAGCGGATGGTGACGTTTCCCCCGAGCGCCACCACCCTGCTGGGGCTCACCAAGATGGTGGGTTTGCGAAATTCTTGCCCTGCTTTCAACAAGAGACAGGAGTTAAACAGGGGAGACACAGCCCCCTGCCTCCCCCCACCCCAATTCAGTCCATCCATCATTTGGCCTCTCTAGGAGTCTGTCCCCTACGAGGGTTGTCACTGGCTGCCTATGGGGCTTGGGGGAAGGGGGTTCACCCAGACGTAGCTGCATCAGAGATCACCTGCCCCCTCCCAGCCCCTTCTGAGGCCAGCCAGGGAGCCTGACCAGTGGGCCCCCCACCCTGGGGTTGGACATAGAGTCTGTGATGGGCGCGGGTCGCACAAGACCCACCTTTCCCCAGGCCTTGGGAATGTGGGTCTGTGAGTGCAGGGGAGGGAGCTGTTGGGGGCGGATCTGGGGGCAGGGGTGGATCTGGTGGCTTCTCCCCATGGCTACACTGACTGCGAACAGTTTCAGTTACCCCGAGGGGGTCTAGAGTCCATGGATGGGCCCTGTTAGCATTTGTATGAGCTGAAAGAAATCCACGGGCCACCCCTCTCCCGATCCTCACAGTCTGGGCGGGGGGGGGGGGGAGGGCAGGACATTGAACCAGGTGACAGTTTCTGTCTGCTTCGTCAGACCCCGGAGCCACATTCAGCTCCTAGTTACTCCGTGGGGGGGTGGGGGCTGGGGAGGCATAGAAAAACAGGGATGGGTCTGAGCTCACAGGGGGCGTTTGGGTTGAGTTTTGGGGAAGGTTCAGGGCTCAGTTCCTCTTTCCTCCACCCCACATATCCCCTCCCCGTCCTTGATGTTACCGTCCTCCCCACAGACTGATACTCACCTCCCCACACTCCGCTGTGCCCGGCCAGCCAGCAGCCTGGAGAGGAGACAGCTCATTAGTGACCAGATCCCAGAGCAACTGGATCCCACACCCTGGTCTCAGATCCCCGCTCCCCATGGGCACACGCCCTGGTCTCAGATCCATGCCCCTGTGGGCACACGCCCTGGCTGTCTTTGATACTCACCAAGAAGGAGGACGGTGAGAGCAGATGCCATGATGGGGCAGTGGGGGTCCCTAAGTGCTGCCACCAAACACCCCAGTGCCCAGTTCCACCCAGCCTGAGGCCCGAGTGCGAGCAGAATGAGGAATTGCATTGGGGGCTGCAGCCCCAGGAAACCCGTGGTGCGCTTGGCCCCTTTCCACCCCATCAGATGGTTTTTTTGCAATCTCCAGCCCAAATCTACTGTGGTCAGAGCAAAGCCAGCTCCCTGCAATGCCCAGCAAACCACATCCCCTCATGCAAGCTGCCTGGTCTCCCCACCCCCCATCACCTCCCAGCCCCACATGGGAGCTGTCCAGTCTCAGGACCAGCTGGGAAAGGGGGAATCTCAGGAGGTGTCAAGAGGTGCCCAGGCTGCCCTGACCTTTTCCAACAGGTCCATCTAGCCTCCCTGGAGCAGCAGCTCAGAGCAGAGTAGGGCATCCCCCCTCCCTCCCACACACACACACACACACACACTGCCACCCACAGAGTGACCTCTCCCATGGAGTGGAGCATTGATTCCTTCCTGACCCAGCATCCACCCTGGAGCATGAGAGTGGAGGGGCCTGGACAATCGCCTTCTCAGGTAGTGTTGCTGTGCACGGTGATTGTTGAAAATACTGCTGAAAGGTATCCCATACGTATTGTGGGAAGGCACCTTCTTGCTCTCCCCAGCCTCCACTGCTTTTAGCCCTGGCGAGACAGGTTTGGGTAAAATAATCCCTCTTGGTGGCCCAGGGGAAGTCCATTCCTTCTCTCCACCAGTCTTTTCAGCGTGCTTTTCTCCCTTCTGGGAGGGAATGCAGCCTTTCACTGTCTTGCTGCTCCTAACCTACTGGCAGCAGGACTCCTTCTCTCTCTCTCCTCTTTCCCTTCTCCCTCCCCCACCCCGGGGAGGGTTTAAAAAGGTCTCGGGCAGCCCTTAGTTGGAATCAGCTGGTCCTAATTGACTTCAGGTAGCTCCCTCTCCGCTGATTCTAATTGATACTCTGGTAACCCCTTCTCAGCTGAACCTGATTGACCTGTAGTTACCCCCCCCAGTTGATAGGGAGGAGGGCCTTTCAACCCTCTGAGACAGATTTCTCCCCCTCCCCTTGCAGATGTCTGTCCTGAGTTTATCACAGTATAAAGTGATTGATCATTCAGGTGTGGACACCCCCGGTCGTAGACGTGCCGGGCAATAGGGGGAGAATTAGATTCCTCACCCTGACCCATCTGTCGGGGAAAACTATACAAATAAAATATATACAAACTGTCTAGGTAGATACACCCCCGGACGTAGAGGGGCCGGGCCAAAAGGGGGAGAATTAAAGTCCTTGCTGCTACCCGTCTGCCGGGGAAAAATTGCATAGCTGAATATACCCTCGGTCATAGCAGATTGAGCCCAAGAGGAAGGGGGCTTAGCGTTCCCCGCTCCTGCTCTGCCAGGCAGAGTTTTTAGTGGGTATAGACTTTTTGTTTTTCTTTTAAGTCCCAGCAGGAGCGTGGGCACGGAAAAGTTATACAGATAAAAGAGATGCAGAAAGAAAAAATGTTCAGGCGAAAAGAGTCCCCTAAGAACAGAGCAGAAAAAATTGCCATTCCTACAAGAAATGACTCCTTTTAAGACAATTTTGCAAAAGTGTGGGCCCAGCCCACGGACCGAACAAGCATTAGCCGATGTCCATACTACCGCTGATTTGGAAGCTAGATTGGCAAAATATCTGTTAGTCTACAGGCCTTCGACCCCAATAAAAAGGGACTTGGCTGCAATTTGGCTATTGTGGGAAGCATGCAATGAGGCATTCCTCTGCTTGGCTAGCTGCCAAGAGGAAAACACAGAAACTTTCATGAGAAACTTGGTATCTCTGAACGAGGAACTGATAAATGGAAAATACCGATTAGCTGAACAGATAGAGGAAAATGATAAAATACGAAAGAGAATCAGGTTTTACAGGGAATGATAAAGAAGCTAGGGTTAGAACAAGGTAGAGCCCCTACCAATCACAACCACTGTGAATCGATTATGAAACGTCTCAAAACAAAATTGGGGTTTGCCGCCCTCCAAGTAGGGGCTGTGACGGCCGGAGAATGGGACCAAGCGCAATACGGCGAGGTCCCCGAATGGGAGGGAGAACGGGACCCTAGCGAAGCTTGGAATGGAGATATATGGGATGAGCCCCAGGGATTGGAACCTATTGAACAAAACCCTATTGCAGCCATACGATGAACTACAGTCCGAATACCTGCAGAGGGAGGGGGAAATACAACTGTCCCCACTGTCCCTGTATCAGCCGCTGACTTAAAAGCCATGGCCGATCATTTGGGACCCCTAAAAAAAGGACAATTTCTCCAGGTGGTGCTCTGACGCGGTTTTGCTCACAATAGGGGACGAGCTGAATGCCACTGAAGTCTGATGCGTTGGTGGGCGTCTGCGTGGTTTCAGAGATTCGGGGGGTCCTAGACAGGATTAGAGTCGACGAGAACAGCAGCATATTGACTTTAATGGGACTTTTGGGGGAGCAAATAGGCGGGCGCAATTTCATAGCACAAGCCGTAGCCGGAACCCAAGAGCCCAGTGAGGACCCCAAGAATGATTTAACCCGATGGGGTCTGATGCAGATAATGGCCGGCTTAACACCAGTGGGCAACGCCACCGTGCTGGATACAATGGCATTCAGCAGACAGTCCTTAAGCGATTGTGCTACTACTCCGGGAGACTTGGAATTTGGCAAGAGGGTCACCCAGCTACCCTAGGGGAACTAAGGGTTTGGTCCAACAGATAACCACCCATTCTGGACCCCAGCCCACTATAAAAAAAGAAAAAGCTGCCAATGTAGTTGTGTTAGAACCAGCCGTTACATACACCAATGGGAGCGGCACAAAGGGAATCCCGGGATCCCGAGCAGCATATACGAGAGGCCTCTCCCATGGACAGAGAAACCGTGGACAACAAGGAGATCGGTTATACCCAAACCCCCGGCAATATCAGACAGCCTCCTCCCAGCAATCAAAGGAGGGAGGTGGGCACACGGAAAATGAGGTTGGCCGGATACCCGCGGGGCAAACCGAGAAGAGTGGAATGGGGCCCCCCCACACCAGAACTAATCAGGGAAGCCATGAGGTTGCAAACCCCACCACAAGAGGTGGCTAGCATAACTCCGAGTGCACCACCCCCTTCTTCCTCGCTGCAATGCTTCCCAAACCCACTCCCTTTTCTGGGGCAAGAATAGAGGGGCCCGCTGAACGAGGAAGCCCCACCACCAGGAGGGGCACAGAGGTGGAGGTTCATAGACCACACATTTATAAATATGCTGAAATAACTCACCCCTTGTGGAAACTGCTAAAGAAAAAGACAAAAGGGGAATGGGGAGAAGAGCAGGACCCCGCTTTAACTCGGCTAAAGCACAAGGCTCTCACAGGCCCAGCCCTGCGTTTCCCTGATGAATCAGCCTTTTGGCGGCTAATAACATGGCCTTGGCTGTCACACTATTACAAAACAATGAAGAGGGAAAGCGAGTGCCGGTAGCGTATGAATCCAGGCAATTACAAGGAGCAGAAATTCATTTTGACACCTGTGAACGTGTCTAGCAGTACAATCTTTGGAGCCGCTCACAGGAACGGACCCTATTGCTACCCAAAGCACCCACACTCCTTTCAAGTACATTTTATCAGGGAAATTAATGGGAGGTAAAGTCTCAAACACCCGAACGGCCCAATGGACGCTTATTTTAGTTAACGGGGTGACCACAGAAACAGTGTCCAACTAACACGCCCTGATTGAGAAAGGGAAGTACATGAAAGTCCAGAGGTCATTCTGGAGCAAAGAATTGCCTTGGTAAAGGCATGCCCACTGGAGGAATTAGAAACCGTGGGCCAAGAAAAGCACGTCCGGTTTGCTGATGGGAGTGCAATGGTGGTAAAAGGGAAAAGATCTGTAAAATACTCAGCCATTGACTTAGAAGAAGAAGTAATTCAGGGACCTTTAGATCATGGATCAGCTCAGCATGCCAAGCTCCACGCAACGTAACAGGTTTTAAGGCGATATGAAAATTCCCCACAGCCCGTGTCTATTTCTGCTGACAGTGAGTTTTGTGTGAAGGGAATATAGTTTTGGATACACGATTGGTATAGGAATGGGTGGAAAGCAGCGGATGGAAAGGATATTGCATATTCAGAGAAATGGAAATGGATTTACCAGCGGGTAACAAAGAACCTTAAACTGTTAAAGGTGAGACCTGTAAAGACGCACCGTAAAGGAACGGGTATGGAGGGCACCTGGAATAATTGAGTAGATACAATAGTCCGACAGGACGACATAGCAGTTGTAACCAGAAGTCAGGAAAGGAACGTCTGTGCTGACACAGCTGAGCCAACAGATGGCACTACAGAGCACCCGAACCGAGTCCCAGGCGAAATAGAAAGACAAGAGTTACTTATTGTAACCCATGAGTTTATGCATGAAGGAGTGGAAGGGACTTTAAGAAGGCTAAAGCAAGTAGCAGAATGGGAGTGTATGGAAGATGATGTTAAAACATGGGTATGAAACTATGTGTGGTGCACTCAGGACAAATCTCGTCCTCCGCACTGGCAACCCAGATGCACCAACGAAGACTTGGGCCGTGGCACAGGGTTCCAATTGATTTTATTGATAAACGGCCAAGGAGTAAGGAAGGATTCCAGTATTTATTGGTGATAATCGATTTCTTTTCCGGATGGGTGGAGGCATTTCCTATTAAAGATAATAGCACCAGGGAAGTGGCCAAAAAGTTCTTTAATGAGGTAGTGAGTAGATACGGCACCCCCAAAATAATAGATTCTGACAATGGTGGAGCCTTTGTAGGAGAAATTTTTACCACAATGATACAAGCCTTGGGAATTAAACAAATGCTCCATATACCAGACCGGCCTCAGTCCTCAGGCCAAGTAGAGCACATGAATCGCACTATTAAGGAAGCACTCTGGAAGGCAGTAAATCACATAGGGAAAGATAAACTGCCTCTGATTTGGTGGACATCCACAGCAGTAATTAACTAAGGACAAAAATTCAATTCTTCCAAATTTTGTTTGGACATCCAATGCGCCTAATGATTGATCCGAGTTACC